CTAAATCTATAAATATATACACATAGATCTATTTCCCCATCCTCATATATAAATATATTTACATATGTACATGTCTTTATTTAGACCTCTATAAATGCCCTTTGCCTCCTAGTTCTTTCCTCTATTTCCTTTTACTTTCCTCTGGTCCCATTACCTTGCCAAATGGAGGACTTTTCAGCTTTGATGTTCTGGGATTTTACCCAACTTGTATGTTTGACTTGGTCTCCCCTTTCCATGCTAACAGTGGGTCTTAGGTCTCTGTTTGTTCCACCAGTTCCACAAACTCACAGACCCCCCCCCCCCAAGTCAGCTCACCTCTGTCTGAAGCTGAGCCCCCTGTGCCACCTGTTTCTGTCAGTCTTGTCACCTAGCGGCCACAACCATGAGCTCCAGTTCCTACTACAGCAATGCTAAGACACCTTTCCTTGCTGCTCCAGCCCTCTGGGACCATCTTTTTCTTAAAGTCCATAGCTCGCTATCCAGTGTTTATTTCCCCCATGGTATTAATTCTTCTCTAATTGTCTCATATTCGTGTTTTCATTTTCCCCAGAGGACATGGTCCCTGTGCTGTCCTTGTTGCCTGCTACCATCAAGTCAACCCTAAACTCACGGTGACCCCAGGCACCATGGGACGGGACTGTTGTGATCTGAGCCATAGGGTTTTCCTGGCTGTTTTCAGTAGTAGATCGCCAGGCCTTTCTTCCTATTGGGAATTTGGAAGCTCCAGCAAAATCTATTCAGCTCCACAGTCACACGCAAGCCTCCACTGACCAACGGGTGGTGACTGTCCAACAGGGGCATTGATTGGGAATCGCACCCCGGTGTCTTGCATGGAGGACAAGAATGAGATGAGCTGGGCTTTGAAGCTTGTCTGCTACGAATAACCATGCTGTTTTTGACCATTCACTCTCCCCCTCTATAAAATGAGGTGGGACAATAGATGCTTCCCCAAATTAAAAAGAATTAAACTAACAAGCACAAACTCTGGGGGAAGTTGCTGGCAGATAAATGCAGGTACTGCTGAGAGGGCCTTGACTGATGTCGACCTCCTGTGTGTCAGAGTGGAACCGTGCGCCAAAGCGTCGTCAGTGGTGGAACTTTTGGAAGTAGACTGCCTGGCCGTTCTTCTGGGGCACCTCTGGGATGGTCTCCATTGCTGGCCTGTATTTCTTTATTTTCCCAGCAGATGAGAGTGTTAGCCACTTGTATCACCCTTGGAACTCTCCCTGCAACATAGAAACTGTAGGAACCTCTGGCCATGTGATAATCGTTGGCTTTTGAACGTGTGGGGCACTTTCAATGATGATTTCCCTCATGGGTAAAAGGGTTTGGTCTCTCCCAGCCTTAGCATCCTGTGCAGAAACCCTCTTCTCATCAGGAGGTGTGGTGGGCCTCTCCTGGAAGCCTCACTGATACCTAGGAAGGTGGGGTGTGGCATAGGGAGAGGGTGGGGGTCAAGCTCTGGGCTTGTGGGGCTGCTCTGCTGCCTCCCCTCCCTCTCCCCCCAGATCTGAGCCAGGAATGTCTCGTGTCCCTCTGTCCTCAAGGTGGCTTCACCTTCTGCCCTGGCGAGGAGCGACCACTTAGCTGGTGAGAGCACACCCATTAAAGAAACAAATGGCTCTCTCCTGTGACAGAGGGAGGACTAAGGTGATCAGAGGGCTCTCTGTAATGAAGACAAGGGAGATTAATTAGGCTCTGAAGTGCTCACCGCCCCCTGAAATACTTAAGAGATTAAATGCCCCACGAGGCTTCCGGTAATGAATCTGCCAGGGACGCCAACGCTGCTCAGAGGCTCTTGGACTTGGTTCTATACTTTGTCCACCCCTCTGCTTGGACATCTTGGCGAGATCCTCTCCTTCATCCCAGCAGGCTGCGTCCATTTTATTTGTCCAACAGATGCATCCACAGCCATGCCTGGGCTGTGAGGGCAGGCTTGGGACCTCTCCGTTCCTTGCCCCCTCCCCACCCGAGTGCAGCCAGTGCAGATTCAGGTAAGAGGAGTGTATCTGCAGCTACCTATGGTCAGGCACTGAGAAAACTCCCTGTTTAAAAGCCATCTCTGGGGCCCAGGGCTCTCCTCCCCAGCATCTGTTTCCCAAGGGCCATGGTACCCAGGGAAATCTAGCTCTCTGACTAGATGTAAGAGGGTGGGACCAGGACGGCCCACAGGTGTACTGGATCACTTTGGCCCTGCTCATCAGGCAGTGACAACCTAGGGTGAGAGAGCCCCACTCATCCTGTCTAACTCCTCCAAGGATCTTTCCTGGCTGTGACTTCTGATGACCTTCAGACAGTCCTTGCTTTTACAGAAGTGGAGGGTGCTGGTGGACATTTCCCTGGGAAGCCTATTGTTTGACATTTAGAACACCTGGATGTTTGGCAGTTAGAACACCTGGGACCTCACCATGATTACCGTTTATCAAGAGCCCTTTGTAGGAGGAGCAATGACAGTTACTAGGGAGAGACATTTTGACTCCTGTCTCCAAAGGCTCCAGATACAAAATTCAACTCTAGTCATGGGTACCATCTATGACATAGTGGAAACTGGACAGGCTGTGGTTCACACAGACCTGAATTCAAATGCAGCGCCGCGATCTCCACGCTGTGTGACTTTGGACAAATCGCTTCACATCTCTAAGCTGCAACTTCCTCTTCTGTGCCATGGGGACAGTCTTATGTCGTCCTCCCTCATGGTGTCCTTGTGATGCTTACATGGTTTACTGCCCCTAAAGTACTCCGAATCCACGTGGATACTCAATAAGCAAATCACCACATCTT